TATATATATAAAAGTATAAATAAATAAAAGGTGGGATAAAAATTGAATTATGACAACAACCACCACTGTAAAACTGTGGGGCCTCCATGGTTTGAAGCAATGTACCTGAGCACTAGCTGCAGAGTGGAGGATGTGCAAGAGCATCGGATTGGCCCCTATTTGGAACAGGATTCTGATGTAATGGATGATGAGGATATCCACAAAAATTGGCTAGCTGATTGAGAAACAGCATAGTGTAGCGGTAGCAGGCATGGGGCTGGCATCAGGAAGACTGAGGTTCAAGTCCCACCACAAAAACTCCCTGGGTGACTTTGGGCTAATCAATCTCTTTCAGCCCAACCTACCTCACAGGGCTGTTGTTATGGGGGAAAGTTAGCTTCTGACTCAAAGGTGAATTATAACTCTAATAAGTACCTAACTAGTTGATCCTTTTGGATATTATGAGACATGAGGTCTCTTCCTACATCGTTGTTGTTATTATTATTAGATATTTTTAATCCCACCTCTTTATATATAACTTTTGGATATTATGAGACATGAGGTCTCTTCCTACATCGTTGTTGTTATTATTATTAGATATTTTTAATCCCACCTCTTTATATATAACTCAAGGTGGTGAACATACTTAATCCCCCTGCCTCCTAATTTCCCAGCAACAACAACCCAGTGAGATAGGTCGGGCTAAGAAAGACCGACTGGCCCAAAGTCACCCAGCTAGTTCTTTACAAGCTACCTGGATGGGTTGGACTACAACACCCATCAGCCACAAACTTCAGGGGAAAGGACTCATGGATGCCATAGGCCATCACATCTGGTGGGGAGGAACGGCAAGCACCGTGGCCCGTCAGAGCTTAGAGGGCGGTCATTATGGGCTTTGTAATCCGACCCATCTGGGGGTTGGGCACTTCTTTAATTTCTCTCTGTCTTCAACATCAGGAGAAGACTAGAGAGCGGTGGGCTTCGTGGCCCAGCACACCTGGAGGAAAGGGGTACTAGCCAGTATAGACAGCAGAACTGCGATGGGCTTTGTAGTCCCTACCCTTGGGGCCAGGTATCTTTTTCTCGCCCAAAAGAAGAGAATTAAAATGATACACATCGCACTCCAGCACATTGCAGGGGGGGGTGACAAGCGTCACGGGGCGATGGGCTTTGTAGTCCCTCGTTTGTTCGACGGGGCTACATACAGACATGCGCGAGTGACGCAGCCGTGACGTCAACGGCGAGCAACTTCCCGCCCGAGGCCTCCCCCTTCAGGCCGGCAAAG